ACTTATAATACATAAATAAAAAACATAAATTTATATATCTCATTCATTACATACTAATTTCTTTTAATTTACTTTCTTTGTCGATTGAATCCATTTTTGAGATTTTTGAGGAAAAAATTGAAGGAAGAAGAAAAAATTGAAGGAAGTTTGAGGAAAAAATTGAAGGAAAAATGAAGGAAGTTTGAGGAAAAAATTGAAGGAAGAAAATTAGTGTTAAAGATGTTAAATTGATAAAAAATTAAAGAAAAAATTAATTATAAGGGTGATTTTTGAGGAAAAAATTGAAGGAAGAAAATTAATGTTAAAGATGTTAAATCGATAAAAATCAGAAAAAATTAATTATAAGGGTGTTGAATCGATTTAAAAATCCAGAGAAAAAATTAATTGTAAAGGGTGTCTATTTAATAAACTCGAATTGATCTAAAAAATCAAGGGGTTGTTTTATTTATTAAAATAAATTTAATTACAATCTAATTATGGTCAATAAGGGTGTTGAATCGATCTAAAAATTTAGAGAAAAAAATTAATTGTCTCGAATTGATCTAAAAATCAAAGGGGTGTTTTATTTATTAAAATAAATTTAAATTACCAATTTAATTATCTAATTATGGTTAATAATACTCTCATATATGTAATATTTATTTTGTGAATATCACAGCGCAAACTGACGGTTTTGCCTTTTAATATACTCATATTGATAGTCTTTTTTACTCATCTTTTTAATTAAATGGCAGAGGAAAAATTTTTTTTTTCCTCTTATTAAAACTTGAATCAAACTTGGATGCAGTGATCCCACTATCCGTGAGAATATCAAGAAAATTCCCCTTATATACAAATTTTATTTCATATGATTTCACGATCATCTTTTATAAGTATAGAGTTATCTTTAAATGTAATTGGTAACGATTCAAACAACAAACAATATCCTTAGTTTCACAAATAAAAATTACATCATCTCCATATGATCTAGCAGGTCGGGCACGGTTTCTATTCATGCGCGATGCCGATCCCTACTGTAAACTGTATAAATATATAATTTCACGTGATCATATAAAAAATCCATCAGAAGTCTGATTTATAACGAAAATTCGCAAGAAATTTCCTTCATACTTGCTTAATTTTAAAGTTCAAAAGTCTGATTTATAAATTAAAAATCACGATCATCAAGAAAAATTCGTGAGAAATTCTTTGATAGAACCTTAATACTAAATTAGCTGAATTAGAATTAAGCAGTATCAAGGAAAATTCTCGCGAATTTTTCTTGATAACGACTAAAACATAC